ATTTTCATTAGAAAATATTCATCCATGTCATTGTTAGTTAATTAAAAAATAGTTTTAGTTTTGCTTAGTTATACAATGTTTACTAGCTAGCTATTCATGTCTGAAATTAATACACAGTTTGTTTTACAATTTAAAAATCAACATAACTAATACTTGTATAAGTAATGAGGAAATGTGTACATAATGTTATCTCAAATGGACTATCAATGCAATTATAGAAAATATAATAACAAAAGGATAATGACACTTGAGCAAAAGGTAATTAAGAAATGATGCATAAATCAGAGGTCAAAAATATGATAAAGAATAATAATAATAATAATAATAATAATAATGAGATATAACTATATTAGGAAAACAAATTTAGGAGAGGTCCTTTTCACTGTAGGTCCTACTTTTCATCACACAATTCTAGAGAATATGAAAGCAAGAGTTGGTTGACATGCCATGTCTTAATTGGCTGATTAGAGGAATTTTTTGCCACCATATTTGACAATTCTTATTGAGATGTGAAAGACTTGATTGAATGGACAAATCTCCTAAAAAGAGATCTTATTGCTATTCAAAGTCTCAAAACCACAGGTTACTAGTACTAATATTTGCACTAATGGAGAAAGCCTTCACCATTTTATTCTTAACAATACTCTTGTTGCCTCACAATGTTATGGCCCAAACCAACATTATCACTGATCAATTAGCTCTTCTCTCTTTTAAATCCCAAATTAGTTCCGACCCCTTTCACTTCTTGAATGAAAGTTGGTCTCCTGCTATTTCTGTTTGTCGTTGGGTTGGAGTCATTTGTGGTTCTCGTCACCAGCGAGTGAAGTCGTTGAAGCTTTCCAACTTGACTCTTACAGGCAGAATTTCCCCGTGATTTTGGAAACCTCACATTTCTTGTTTCTCTTGACTTGGGAAGCAACCAGTTCCATGGAAATTTGCCTCAAGAAATGGCACATTTGCGTCGGCTAAAGTTTCTTGATTTAAGTTTAAACAGCTTCAAAGGGGAAATTCCTTCTTGGTTTGGGTTTTTACACCAACTTCAAGTTGTATATAAACCTTAGGAGTAACTGTCACGCCCCGAGCCTACACCCTGGGCGGGACCGGCACCCGGAGACCATTTCTGACCCCAAGCGAACCCTTGGCCTGACTTTCTTAACTCAGCGGAAACCTAGCTCAACAAGATAACTCAATGCAAATACAAGGTTACAAAACAACTTAACTTATAAAAGCTGGCCACAAAGGCAACTCGAATCTCAAATTAGGATATTTACATATATACATAGATGAGAGACTCAAAACTAACTGACTAACTGTCTATGAAGCCTCTACAAATACTGAGATGGATGTTGGGACAGACCCCGCAACACCCTAATAAAACAAAACTAAGGACACAAAATAATTGAGTCCTCCGGAATGCAAGGAGGCTCACCACTGACTCTGGAGTGCTCAGCTGGATCAACGGCGTGCTGGATGCTGATCCTGGGTACCTGTATCTGCATCGTCATAAGATGCATGCCAACTGGCATCAGTACATGGAATGTACGAGTATGCGAGTTGGAAAACTAAGCAACAAAGGCTAGAAAGAAATCTGGAAGAAACTGAATAGCGTACCTAGCTCAACTCAACTCAACCTGACTGACTTCTTTCAATATAAGGCAATTTAAAACAAGTGTGATATAAAGAAAGACTGCTTAAAATATGTTATAAACTCTGTGTGTATACAAAGATACAATAAGCCTGAGATGTATATAGAAATACAAATGAACTGATGTATATGAAAATACAATACTTTCTGTGTATGAAAATACAATAACTATTGTGGGAGTTTCTTTAACCGACAACCATCACATAAGAGTTATAGTGATGATACAACGATCGGCCTCACGCTGCCAGAGCATCTTATACCCGGCCAAAGGTATAAGACCTGAACTGCCTGATGAATCCACTAGTCTATCTGGAAAAGGATTCATCTAAAAAGTATGATCATTTTCTACCCATGGTGGCTAACATGGTTCTATGGGGGCTATGGGTTCTTTGAACGCTCCCCCAATTCGGTGCTCCATACTACTCCCAAAAACGTACTGGCTCTTATGTTTTTAAAACATATTTCTTCCTACTGATATGAGATAATTACTCAAAAACTAGCCCGAAGGTTCTTTGGAAATCTCAGTTTCCAACCTTACTTAAATGTAAAAACATTTCTTTAAAACTTCTTTGGGAATACATAGTTCCCTAATAACCTTGAGAAATGAACTCAACTTTATGTTCTTGACTTAACTTGAAACTTTATACTATTTGCTTGACTTGAAACTTGAGCCTTAGAATGAAGTTAAAACGTTCAATAAAGACTCTTGAACAACTTTAAAGACTTGCTTGGACTTACTTCTTAACTTGCTTGACTTGACTCTAACTTCACTTGACTCTGATCCAAACTCGCCTCGAATTGAATTATGGATTCAAGGTATATGATCACATGTTTATAGATGAGTTCGGGAGGTTTAAATGTACATTAGAGTGGTGGAAACAACTAGGAAACATAGGTACAATACCTAGGAACATGCATGAGAAAGTGTGAAAAGAATAGGGGAACTTGGCGTCCTAGGCGCTCTGCAAGGTGCGGAGCGCCAGCCCTTGAAGCTCAGAGGGGACCTGCTGGCGCTCTGCTAGGCGCGGTGCCCCAAGGGAGAAATCTCAGAAGCTCTTTTGGGGCGCGCTGGCAGGCGCGACGCGCCACCCCTTTCCCCAGAAAACTCGACTTTTCTCCCTCTTTTCCCCAACTCTAAACTACCCTAACTTCAATGGACTCAACATACAAGAGATTCAACTCAAACACACAACCAAATCATGTCCCACAACCAACAAAAACTTCAACAACATAATCAACAACATCAACAACACAACCCAACAACTTCAACAACATATCCAATCTTTTCTCAATAATGAAAATGAGTTTGGTGTGTGGGGGAAAGGATCACCCAACACTAAGAACTCACATACCTAGTGGGGATCACCCCCGACGATATCCACAACGATTTTTGATGGAAACTTGCTTGATCTCCTCTTTTTTCTCTTCTTCTCATCTTCTTCTCCTCTTCACTCAAAAGCCCTAACTCTCACTCTCACTCTTTTAAAATGGGACCAAAATGATCCAAAAATCAGTCTAACACAACAATATAACCCCAAAAGAAATAGCTAGGGAAAAGACCAAAATGCCCTTAAAATTTCCGGACGGATTCCCTGCCAACTGCCCAACTTTCAAAGGGCATAACTCGCTCATACGAACTCGGAATCGAGCAAACTCGGCGGCGTTGGAAAGATCATTCCAAGGGATTTCCAAACATAACTGGAACTACTCCTAGCTCATCCTGATCTATGAGTTATGACTGCTCAAAGTTGGCCAAAACTCACTGATTTCCCACGCTTAACCAAATTTCCAGATTTACAATTTTATTCCAAAAATGACTATTTCCAATTTCAAGCTTTTTCATAGTTAATTCAAATTGCCGGATGTTACAGTAACAGTTTTACTGGTTCCATTCCTCCGTCACTCTCGAATGCCTCAAGGTTGGAGATTTTAGAAATATCTGCCAATTTACTTCAAGGAAACATCCCCGAAGAGATTGGCAATCTTCACAACCTGAAATTTTTGTCCATGGAATATAATCAGCTTACAGGTTCAATGCCATTCACAAAATTCAATATTTCTAGAATTGAAGTCATTGCATTTACAGATAATAGATTATCAGGAGATCTTCCCAATGGTTTATGCAATGGTCTCCCACTACTCAAAGAGATTTATCTATCATTAAACAAGCTTCATGGTCATTTGCCTAAAAGCTTGTCAAATTGTTCACAACTTCAAATATTGTCTCTATCCCAAAATAATTTTGATGGACCAATACATAATGAAATTGGAAGATTGAGTAATTTGCAGACATTAGAAATCGGATACAACCGTTTCACAGGTATGTTTCATCTTATGAATGCTACTACTATATATTGTATCTAATTACCTCACATCTTTCTTTATTACACATTGAATGCAGGCATAATTCCACAAGAAATCAGAAATCTTGTTAATTTGGTGATATTAGACATGGTGGGAAACCAGATAACCGGCTCTATCCTGATCTCCGTATTCAATATCTCATTGCTGCAATCATTGTTACTGTGGGGCAACAATCTTAGTGGATTCTTACCACGGGAGATTGGCAACTTAACCAAGATGCAATTCTTATATCTTAACCAAAATAGGTTTACTGGTACGTATTCAAAGTTATAGCGCGCGATCTGTATTGAGCTAGTTAAACTCATTCTTTCTTCACGTGTTGACAGGTGAAATACCCAAAGATATAAGAAATCTCGTTGAGTTAAAGGAATTTGATGTTGGGTTTAATAGTTTTAGTGGTTCACTTCCAATGGAGATGTTCAACATATCAGCACTGCGAATAATCTCTTTCATTCAATAATATATCAGCAACTCTACCACCAAACATAGGTTCTACCTTATCCAACATTGTTGGGACTATTCCTCATTCTATCTCCAATTGTTCCAAACTTACTCATCTAGATCCTTCAGGTAACAAACTCAGTGGCTTGATTCCCAATTTTCTTGGATATTTGACTCATCTACACATCCTAAACATGGAGAGAAACAATTTAACCAGCGACTCCTCGTTAAGCTTCCTCACTTCCTTAACCAATTGCAGAAGATTAACAGCTCTTTCTCTATCCTTGAACCCTCTAAATGGCATGCTTCCGGTCTCCGTAGGGAACTTCTCCAAATCTCTTATAAACTTTTATGCCGATTCTTGCAAGATTAACGGCCAGATTCCAAATGAAGTTGGAAACTTAACCAATTTAATAGACCTTGATCTTTCTATTAATAACTTGATTGGATCAATTCCTACCTCAACTCGTAACTTGAGAAACCTTCAACGCTTGAACTTGAGTGACAATAAACTTACAGGATTTATTGAAGATAATATTTGTAAATTGCAGCATTTGGGAGATAATTACTTGGATCAAAATCAACTTTCAGGATTTCTTCCTAATTGTTTAATCAATCAATTAATTGTTTGACTGTAGAGTATGGATTGGATGGACTGGTGTCAATAAAATGTGATGTCTATAGTTACGGGATCATATTGCTGGAAACATTTACTAGGAGAAAGCCTAGTGATTTTGAGAGAGATCTTAGCTTGAAGCAATGGGTGAGTTATTCACTCCCAGAGGCAGTAATGGACGTTGTGGATGCCAACTTGGTTACACCAACTGATAATCGCTTACAGAAGAAGCTAGATGTTGTTGCATCAATCATGAAAGTGGCATTAGATTGCTGTGCTGAATCTCCGGCAAGAAGGGCAAACATGAAAGATGTTGTAGGGATGCTACAGAAGATGAAGATTCAACTTCTTGCACACTGAACATGTTCTCTGATTCTCTTTTTCCAAATTGATTGCTTGTTTGTTTTATGGAAAGATATTGCTTTTTTTGTTTTGTTTTAGAACTTGATTTGTGCATGATTCTGTTTTCACTGTTTCCTCTAAATATTAGTGTTGCAAAATGGTAGAACAAGTAAATTGAATAACTAAAACCAAATTGATCCTCTTGAAAATCTTGAAGCAGAATGATCATTTTGTAAATTGTTAGAGGAATAAACTATATGAATACAAATAGGCAAGTAATATAGTAAATGTTTTACATGGGAAACACTAAGAGGACATATAACATCAAGACAACAAACAAAAAAAGCAATGACAAATTAATACTCTCTTATTAAAGTTAATTAGATGTATATCTTTGCCCCACATTTACGTTTGCAAGACTTGGTTGATTTTGGTCTTCTTCAGTTTGTCAAATCTTTAGGACCCACGTAACTTGAAAATTTTTCCTAAAACAATAACAGCCAATACAAATTAAGTACTCTCTTATTAAAAAAATAAAATAAACAAAATAATCTCTGAAACAAGTAAAAAGAAAATCAACTTTTTTATATAAATAATTGTTAAAAGGTTAACTAAATAATTAAAGTGTGTTGCCCAACATCTTTAACAAGTCAAATTATTGTTCTTTTAAGTTCAAATTTAGTTGTATTAATACTAAAATGACCATTTTCTACGGATCAATTAACTCTTTTTTCTTTGAAATCTAAATTCAGCAAGTGAAGTCCTTGAATCTTTCCAACATGCACGATTTCCTGTGATTTTGGAAACCTCACATTTCTTATTTCTCTGGACTTGGGAGGCAACAATTTCAATAAGTGTTACCTTAGCAAAAATCAAGTCTATTAAATTAAAAAATCAATAAATACAATGAGTAGTTTACTAAACTATCCATATTTAATAATTGTCTCTTTAAAATTGAACGCTATTAAGAAGATGAGATGTAAGGGTATAGTTGAAACAATATATTAATTTTTGTAGTGAATTTCTAAAATAACAGTTATTTTGGGATGATTCTTTTTGGCATAATACATAAAAATGCCCTTTAACTTGGCTTCAACGGGCATCAATCTATGTCATTCAGTGTACAAGTAGGTACTTAAACTTGTATATAATTAAAAAAGTAGACACACACGTCCTACATGACAATTTACAGTCCTACATAGCGTCCTACGTGTATTATGCCACGTATGACATGTGTGTCTAGCTACTTGTTCAACTTTATACAAGTTTAAGTACCTACTTGTGCACATCCAAAGTTGGAGGCTACAGATACCAACTGAGGCCAAGTTAAAGGGCACTTTTATGTATTATGCCAATTTTTTAAAACTAAGATGACACTTATTTTGAAGGGCGGAGAGGACATAATTAATGTGGAATGTCACTAGTAGAACAGATTCATTAAGAAATAAAAGAAAGTAAAATTATAAAATAAGGGTACATGTGTATTTGTGAACAAAATTAACTGGTACTTGTGGTCGGTTGTCGTTGGTGGTAGATGACATTTTATTTCTTGAAATTAATCGAGGTGTGTGAGAGTTGTCCTGATACCATAATTATAAAAAAAAAGTGTGATTACTACTCGAAAAGAAGTGTTGAAACTAATAATAAAGAAATATAAGTTGTTCTTTTGTTAAAATGACCAAAATAACCTTCTTCTTTTAAAATATATATATATATATATATCTGAAAGTGTCCTTGTAAAGAAATAGAGGAACGATGTATTCTTAGTGAAGAGGAAGGTACGAGTTTTATATTGGATTTTTTTTTTAAGAATTTTTTAAAATGAAGGACAAAATAGTAAAAGACTTGGTCAAATAAAAAATGCTTATAAGCTAAAAATTAATAAGTTATGGATGACCAACTTATGACTTTTGTTGATTTTAGTTTATAAGTACTTTGAATGTTTACTAAACAAGTACATAGCTAAAAAAATATTTCTAAGTTAGTTTAACGAGCCTATAAACTTAGCAAACATCTCCCAAATATCTCATTTTGTACTTTTTATCTCCTAAGTGAGAAGCAATAATGATCAAGAACACACAGGATGTATTTTTTTTTTTTTTTTTTTGCGAGATTCATACACATGTGTTTGTATTTTTTATATGAACTATCACCAATTATACAAGTTAACTCTTCTTTCTTTAAAATCTCAAATCATTTCGGACCCGTTTCACTTCTCGATATAGCTAGCTAGCTAGCTAGTGGACATACATATAGTAGAAGGCAACTTGGGAAGTCTTTGGACTGATTAGAGGAATAATTTTGCCACCACTTTTATGGTTGCCAAGACTTGATGTATATTTGGTCCTAACCAATTTTGTCAAGTCTTTGGACCCACATAACCTGGAAAATTCCCTAAAATGATAACAGCCAATACAAATTAATGTTGTGTATTAATTTATTTTAAAAAAAGAAAACGAAAAAATATACCCCTCATTAAAAATATGATGCATATATATCCTTACAGACAAACAAATATTTTTCCGACGTATAATATAAGTTGCTAAAAGTAGCACTACATTTCACCACACAATTATAGAAAATAAGAGACTTTAGTTGACTTGCACAAGTCTTTGGATGATTAGGGGAATTTTTGCACCATTTTACATTTCTGATTGATTTGGTAGTATTAGTATTGATATGAATAAATAAAAGTAATTTTTTTAAAAAAAAAAATAATCATGTTGATCCCATTGCTATTTAAAGCCTCAATACCACATGTTACTAGCCATATCATTTTTCTATTAATATTTGCACTAATGGAGAAAGCCTTCACATTTTTCCTCTTGACAATACTCTTGTTGCTTCACTATGTTATGACCCAAACCAACATTACAACTGATCAATTAGCTCTTCTCTCTTTGAAATCTCAAATTAGTTCCGATCCTTTTCATTACTTGGATGAAAGTTGGTCTCCTACTATTTATGTTTGTCATTGGGTAGGAGTCACTTGTGACTACCGTCACCAGAGAGTGAAGTCCTTGAATCTTTCCGACATGGCTCTTACCGGTAGGATTCCTCGTGATTTTGGAAACCTCACATTTCTTGTTTCTCTTGATTTGGGAAGTAACAATTTCCATGGAAATTTGCCTCAAGAAATGGTACTCTTACGTCGGCTTAAGTTTCTTGAGTTAAGTTTCAACAAATTCAGAGGGGAAATTCCTTCTTGGTTTGGGTTTTTAAAACAGCTTCAAGTTTTAAATCTTAAGAATAACAGTTTCACTGGTTTCATTCCCCCGTCACTCTCGAATGCCTCAAGGTTGGAGACTTTACAAATATCTGCCAATTTACTTGAAGGAAACATCCCGGAAGAGATTGGCAATCTTCACAACCTGAAATTGTTGTACATACAACATAATAAGCTTACGGGTTCTATACCATTCACAATTTTCAATATTTCTAGAATCGAAGTCATTGCATTTACAGACAATAGCTTATCAGGAAATCTTCCCAATGGTTTATGCAATGGTCTCCCGATACTCAAAGAGCTTGATCTATCAATGAACGAGCTTCATGGTCATATGCCTACAAGCTTGTCAAATTGTTCACAACTTCAAATGTTGTATCTATTCAGAAATGAGTTTGATGGACCAATACATAGTGAAATTGGAAGATTGAGTAACTTGCAGTTCTTGTATCTTGATTTCAACCATTTCACAGGTATGTTTTATCTTACTAGTTTTTGGACACGTGTGTGGTCATCTAAATTGACATAAATTGTTTCAAATTATCATTGTATTAAAATAGATTTATAATTAAATTACATGAATATCGTTCATTTTCAAACAAAAAATAGTTCAAATAATTGGAATCTACTCTTGGATACCAATAACAAATTAAAATATGACAACAAAGTATCTCTTCTCCAAATGAAATAAAAGATGATAATATTTAGTATTTTAAAATACTATAATTATAAACACAAATTAATATATGTATATTCTTATCTCATATGTTAATTACCTGCAAGACAAAGTTCAGAGAAATGAAGAAAGATGAAAAATGAATAGGATTTGATAGCCACTTCATAGAGTTAATTAAAATAATATGAAGTCTACAATTTATAATCAATATTAATTTTATTAGTTTATTAAGGGATCATATCAAGTATTGAATCCTACCAAATTAATTTTTTCAAAAATGAGCTTAGAATACAGAAACATAGCATCAACAGAGTGACAACTTAAAATATGAAAGGGTATCAAAAGTTGAAACATTGAATTTGTTTTTCTCAAAATGAGACACAAGGATAAATAAATAAGGATAAATATTTATATCACTATTTCTTCGGTGAATTAAAGAAGTTATTAATAATTTAATTATATGTTACTTTCTTCATTTCAAATTATTCATTGTGTTTCAATCTTGTACACCCCTTATGAAAAAATTGATAAAAAATGTGGTTTTATCTATTCTATCTTACACACCCCTTACAAAAAATAAACATAAATAAGACAAATATTCAAAAAAAAAGAAGGTAAATTACTAAAATTTAATTGTGTACATATTCAAAATGTTTAAATGGATTTATAAGACAAATATTTGAAGTATTTAAACTTTTTATTAGTTTATTAAGAATATAATATTTTTAAAAATATCTATAAAATTTTAAACGATGTAACACATAATTATAATGAAAAATGCTCAAAGTGGTAATAATAAGGTGACTTATTTAGTATATAAATCTTTATATGTTAGTGTATATTGTATCCTACTATTTAAATTACTTTTATCATGATTAAAACTATTGTCGCCAATATGACATGAGGTTTAACAATGCATTTTAAAATATATCTTGATTGCACATAACCCAACATATATGCATACGATGCCAATAATAACATTTACAGAAAACAAAATGGTATAAATCCTTCTTACAAATATTTATCAGATCCTAATAATCACGATTGAACATGAAAAAAACCCTACTCAATTTATGTGTCAAACTGTTAATCCAAATACAATATAATTTATATATTCTTATTATAAAGCTCTAGATCTTATTAAAATGAGAATTTAGAATCAAAACATAAGGACAAATGAGAATTTAGAATCAAAACATAAGGACAAATTAAGACAATGAATGAATGTAATCACGATTGTAATAGGGTGTACACCAGTTTATCCGAAGAGTAAAGTTGTATGGACTAACAGATGTTATTGACATACTCCTATTAAAATCTGCAGCGTATATAAAACTTTTCAAATAAAGGTCACCTTTTTCCTCATAGTACATGAAACTTCAAATGTTGTCCAAAAGAAAATTACAATATAATTAAAGTGTCAATTACAATAAATAGCAAAATAAAATAGATATAATTATTGTATTACACAAATCTAAAAAAGTTGTCTAGATGATGATATCGACAAATCACTCGAAGCAGATAACATCCTATTATAATTTACAATATGTAAGGCGAAAAAAGAATATCTCTTTGTAAATAAAGAATGAGAATTAGCCAAACTATTACTACATATTATGTCTAAATGATGAAACTAATTTTACCATCTTGTAAAATAATTGGATGGATAGTTGCCATTTACCTTCGAGTAATTTGACTGTCATATGAAATTTAGTTTTTCAACTTCCTTTATCTATTTGAGGAAAAGGAGTGGTATTTATACTATTTTATAGTAGTTCAATTGGAGAAGTCTAAAGGTTAGACTAGTTTTAAATGTCCTATATTCATTTACAATGAATGTTGTGTGCATTGAATTTCATCTCTTAGAATTCTTCATGCTTTGACAAAAACGTAAAAATGTTTTGAATAAAGTACGTGTTAGGGTTTTGCCCTGATTTTCTTACCTTACACTACAAAAGGAACCCCAATTACCAACAAAAAAATTTGTTGGTAAATTGATCAAATTGGTTGGCAAATTGAGTTACCAACCAAATGCCAACTTATATTAATCTGTTGCTAAAAGGCTCGTCGGTAAATATTACCAACCGATTTTAATTTGTTGGTAAACATACCAACCAAAAATCGGTTAGTAAAATCTGTTGGCAATTTAGGGATTTTTTGTAGTGTTATTTGAAGTTAGTTTTTCCTAAAAAAAAAAAGACAAAACATTACCATAAATGTTTTTACTTTTCATGAAAGGAAAATATATTTTTCTTCCATATTTGGTTTATTCTTTCCTTAGAGGAAAAGTTTGAAGATCTATAAAATGAAGATCCCTATTCCCATAACACAACACAATAGCGTCCACAATGTAGCCGTTTAAGAGTTTAGTTTATTGGGAGATTTATTTTCTCAATAGTTTTAATATTTTTCTCTTATATTAGTTTTCATATTATGATATTATATTTTTAGTATAAGTTTTTGTTATCTCATTTATCAACTCTATGATTTGCAATTGTAAGCTTCCGCATGACGCCCTAATCACCTTGAAAACCCAACAGTACGGGTCATTCTCATTCACATATCTTACTTAATTCCATCATTAAATAATTTAATGAACATTGAATACTTTTAAAAACTGATTTCATCTATATCTAATTAGTTATTAGAATATATATATTTGGTTTTGTAAAAGAATAATAATAGAAATAGTGTTTTGAAGGGTAAAAAGGTATTTCAACTTTTCATTTTGATGTTCCCATTTTTAGTATAACTAGTTCTCGAACACGTGCATTGCACGTGTATTTCACGCTAGGTAATTTTTTTTTAAAAAGTTAGATTAAATGTGCAATGAGTTATATGAATTTTGAAAGGGAAGATTACCTTTTGTCTGATTTACACTTCTAAGTCATTTCATCTTTGAATTTAACATAAATAATTAGTAAAATTGTATATATATAATATCAAATGTAGCATGACTAGCTATTAAAATCAATGTGTTTTATGCATTACAACACCAAATAACTTCAAATTTTGGATTAAACCTCTAAAGTATATAATCTCATACATAACACTTTTTTTCTATAGTAATCCATGCAATTACATATTAAAGTGTAACACAAATTAAAAATTAACAACATAAGACAATAATTTTAACTAATTAATCAACATCACCTGGGAGGTAAACTACCACGAAATGGTTCTTTGACAAGAACTACTTCACTTATTGTTGCCTCAAATCTGCAATCGGCTAGAAGAATCTCTAGCTTTCAATTATATGATATAATTTGAATAACAGTATAGTTACCTAAATTACTGTGCAAATCAATTGGAACTGCATCCTATACTTTTTTCAAAAATATTATGTGTATTATATAAAACTTAATAGAGTATATGAAAAGTTTTCTAATGGATGAAAATTAAAAGAATTAACAAATTTAAAATTAATGGGATAAGTGCATATAATTATATAGTAAAAGATAAACTACACTAAGGGCTAGACAGATTCATTAACTTCACATTAATGTTTCACAATTTATTGATTTATTATTAAAAGGTAAATGTATTATTTGATTGATAGTATAAAAATATTCTGAAAAAGTAGTGTGTAGATAGGGGTACAAAATATCCCATAAGAAGGTGACTTAAATGTATATATTCATGAAATAGTGGCAAAACGAACCAACAAAATATTTTGTAATAATTTAAATTTAATTATTCATATAATTTTGCCTTTTTGTAGATCTTTTCTGATGCGCATTCCTTGAACTTTTTTATTCATATATTTATTATTCCTAGTTAATAATTAGTCTACATTTAATTACTCAATGCAACTCTTTCAATTCTTCTATTTATTTAGCAACGAAGAGGCTTATTGCGTAAATTCAAAAGGGTCATTTTGATTTGATTCAATGCATGTTAAAGTAGCATACCAAGACATTAAATTGGTATAAAAAATTGAAAAATAAGTTAAGGAAGTTGAAACGAAACCAAAATATTGAATAGAGGACAATTTTAGGAAGATGAAAAAGCTAGCAATTCCAAGACATTGAATATAGGCTGCTGTAATTGTGTGATAATTAAAATATTACTCCTATTTAATTAGAGTAGATATTTTATTTATTACATTAGGGTGCAGTAATTGTGTAACAATTTAAATATTGCTACTAATTAGATTAGATATTTTTATTTAGTAAAAGGGTAAAAGAGTAATTCAACTTTGAAAATTGAGCCTCCCACTTATAATAATATATGATATGATATGATATGATATATATATATATATATATATATATATATGAGATGAGATATGATATGATGAATGCTAGTACTATTGTATCTAATTACCTTAGATCGTTTTTTATTACACGTTAAATGCAGGGATAATTCCACAAGATATCAGAAATCTTGTTAATTTGGTGGAGTTAAATGTGGGAGGAAACCAGATTACCGGCTCTATCCCGATCTCCATATTCAATAACTCATTGTTGCAAAATTTTTCACTAGGGCCGAACAATCTCAAGGGATCCTTACCACGGGAGATTGGCAACTTAACCAAGATGCAAAATTTATATCTTCAGCACAATAGGTTTACTGGTACGTATACATTCAAATTAAGTGATAGCAATCTGAACTAGCCAATTTTTAGTTAAACTCATTCTTTCTTCAGGTGAAATACCCAAAGAGATAAGAAATCTCGTTGAGTTGGAGGTACTTGGTCTTGGGTTTAATAGTTTTAGTGGTTCACTTCCAATGGAGATCTTCAACATATCACGACTGAGAATAATTGGTCTTTCAGCCAATAATCTATCAGGAACTCTACCACAGAACATAGGTTCTACCTTACCCAACATTAAATGGCTTTTCTTGAGTGGCTTAACCAATCTTGTTGGGACTATTCCTCATTCTATCTCCAATTGTTCAAAGCTTACTAAACTAGAGCTTTCACAAAACAAACTCACAGGATTGATTCCCAATTCTCTTGGATATTTGACTCAACTAAACATCTTAAACTTGCGGAGAAACAATTTAACCAGTGATTCATTTTTAAGCTTCCTCACTTCCTTAACCAATTGCACAAGATTAACAGCTCTTTCTCTAGGTTTCAACCCTCTAAATTCCATGCTTCCGGTCTCCGTAGGGAACTTCTCCATATCTCTTATAAAGTTTTATGCCAATGCTTGCAACATCAAAGGCAAGATTCCAAATGAAGTTGGAAACTTAAGCAACTTATTAGACCTTGATCTTTCTGATAATAACTTGATTGGATCAATTCCTACATCAATTCACAACTTGAGAAGCCTTCAGCGCCTGTACTTGAACAACAACAAGCTTACGGGATTTATTGGAGATAATTTATGTAAATTGCAACATTTGGGAGATATTTACTTGGGACAAAATCAACTTTCAGGATCTATTCCTAATTGTTTAGGGAATGTTACTTCTCTTAGAGAGATATATATGGATTCCAATAAATTGAGTTCCAATATACCAACAAGCTTAGGAAATCTTAAAGATCTAATAGAGCTCGACTTATCGTCAAACAACATGGTTGGTTCTTTACCTCCGGAAATTGGAAATCTAAAGGCTGCGACATACATGGATCTGTCAATGAATCAATTCACAAATGGAATTCCTAGAGAAATTGGAGGATTGCAAAATCTGGTATATCTTTATTTGGAACACAACAAGTTGCAAGGATCTATACCTGACTCAATCAGCAACATGGTAAGTTTGGGATACCTAGACATTTCACATAATAATATATCGGGAACCATTCCCATGTCTTTGGAGAAACTACAATACCTCAAGTATTTCAATGTTTCTGTCAACAAATTGTACGGTGAAATACCCTCGGAGGGTCCTTTCAAGAACCTCTCGAGTCAGTTTTTCATCGACAATGAAGCATTGTGTGGTTCTTCAAGGTTTAGTGTCCCACCATGCGCCACATCATCAAAGCATAGATCAAATAGGAAAAAAATGCTTGTTCTATTTCTTATGCTGGGAATAACACTTGTATTTGCTCCTATTACCTTTGTGTTCCTAAGGATAAGGTATAGAAGAGGTAAAAGATCTCCTCAACAAGCTGATTCATTGTCTATTGCAACAACAGAAAGAATTTCATACTATGAACTGCTCCAAGCAACTGATTCACTTAGCGACAGTAATCTGATTGGTTCTGGAAGTTTTGGCTCTGTTTACAAAGGCGTTCTCAGGAGTGGGACTGCCATTGCAGTTAAAGTGTTCAATCTGCAACTGAAAGCGGCATTCAAGAGTTTTGATACAGAATGTGAAGTTTTGCGCAGCCTTCGCCATAGGAATCTCGTGAAAGTCATCACTAGTTGCTCCAACCTTGATTTTAAGGCTTTAGTGCTCGAGTATATGCCTAATGGAAGTCTTGACAAGTACTTGTATTCCCACAACTACTTCCTAGACATCAGGCAGAGACTAAGCATTATGATAGATGTAGCATGCGCGTTGGAATATCTCCATCATGGGTGCTCGTTACCTGTGATTCACTGTGATCTGAAGCCTGGTAACGTCTTGCTGGATGAGGATATGGTTGCCCACCTAAGCGACTTTGGGATTTCAAAATTGCTTGGTGAAGATGAGAGTGATTTATACACTAAAACCTTAGCAACATTGGGTTATATTGCACCAGGTATGTCTCTTTGTTTTGCTGATTTTTCCTTTCTTCTTCCTTTTCACCAAGAAATTATGTTAAATCTTCAAATGAATTGTTTGTTTATAGAGTATGGACTGGATGGATTGGTGTCTATAAAATGTGATGTCTATAGTTACGGGATCATGTTGCTGGAGACATTTACTAGGAGAAAGCCTAATGAGTTTGAGGGAGATCTTAGCTTGAAGCAATGGGTGAGTTATTCACTCCCAGAGGCAGTAATGGACGTTGTGGATGCCAACTTGGTTACACCAACTGATAATCGCTTACAGAAGGAGTTAGATATCGTGGCATCAATCATGAAAGTGGCAGTAGATTGTTGTGCTGAATCTCCGGCAAGAAGGACAAACATGAAAGATGTTGTAGGGATGCTTCAGAAGATCAAGATTCAACTTCTTGCATGTTGAGCAGCGTTCTCGGAATCACTTATTTGTTGCAAATGTTTACTAAATTGTTGGATTCATGTAAGGATTGTTTTTTTTTTGTTTTGTTTTAGCACTTGATTTGTGCATGATTCTGTTTTGGAATACTGGTTGGTTTCAATAAATCTCACAATTTCCCTACTTATCTAAAATGAGTGGTTTCCACACATGGATATCAAACTGACAACTAGCACGGAAAGGCCTCGTTTTGGTCTGGTAGAATGAATGTTAAAAGCAAATTCCTCAAAATCGTATGATTTAAGTACCTGACAAAATGAATAGAGATAGAAAGATCTGGATAACTGAGATGACATATTTCAAGATCAGATGATCCACCTCTTTGTTCACTAGTGAGTGTCAACTCAGAAAGGTCATCCATATATTAGGCACCATCTTTCCCGCCCACCTCATTAATATCAATAGGGAAGAATACGAGGGTAGCCTGATTATCAACAAATAAATCTAAGATGTGTATCTTCTTTTATGTTGCCTCAAAGTAGAGTAAGCACCTATTTAATATAATCGAGAAAGGCAAATAACAAACAATATATGTTTTCCAAATCTCTGTTAACTTAAACTGACTTACACACGGTGTCACACTCTTATACCACGGAAACTTAGGAGCTCAGTTGGTTGACTACTTGAACTTTCACCTTGTTGGTAAGGTACCAATTCGATTTTGCATCTTGTAATCCCCTACTCCCAATTTTATTTTATTTTATTTTTAAAAAACAAACTCTTATGCCATTTGAACATCCCCCGCTGAAATTATACCGGTGTATATGTCAACTAGTTCTGGAAACGTGCGTTGCACGTTTATTCTTTACTGTCATACAAATTTGTATAGGTCTAATTTAACGTTGATAATTATCAATTACATTATTCTTTTGTGTATGTTGTTCTGTGCAAATATAACAATGTCAATTAATTCTCTTCATTTAATTTTGGTTATTTGTATGCAAAATGAAAAATGTTGAAAAATATAAAACTAATTACGATAATATAGCATATAGTATGTGATATAGTGATGAACTCTTGCTCTAAATTTAAGCAATGGACGTAAACATATATAACAAAATTAATAAAGACAAAGAATAAATATATATTTACCATGTTAATCAGGGAAAAATGGCCAACAAATTGATTTTACATAAATGTATAAGAATTATAAGATGATGAAACACAAAAGTGAAGTGGACTAATATTTTCTATTCATTTTATTTAAGAGATCATCACCAAAAATCTATTAAAAGACGAAAATAATTGCAACCCAAAAAACTTATCATAAAATACAAAATCAGTAAATAAAGTGCAAATATATATATACACACAAAAAGAAGGATCTTTTGAGCAAGATAACTAAGGAACATTAGTAAAAAAGACACAAATAATGATACAACCCACATTGAAAGAAGTTGCTTCATATAAATCAAAAAATAATTAAGAATATTTAAACATAAATTATGTAATGTTTTCGGCCTGTTCCTCATACTCAAATAAAGGTATTTTCAAAATCGAAAGAAGGACCATAATGTGTTTTGCCTCCAACATTCTCACGATGAAGCAATATAATTCTTAAACCCAAAACTCAAAATTGTTTTGTAATTGAAACCCAAAAATAGAAAATTGGTGATGAATACATGACGATGAAAAGCTTGTAAAAGTTGCGTAAGTTGTGAATACAAACTAATAAGATGATTTTTACTTTGAGTTTTATAGATCATTTGAATATGATTGAATAGTATAATTTTTTCTGTCCAAATTTATAGAATCCTATAAAGTATATGAAAAGACATGATATTTAATTCTATGGAAGATCAGAGGAATTAAACATTTTAATTGAACTAATTATATGTAATAATTAAGAATTCGAAATTTTCAATAAATTTGGGAATATGGAATAACTTTCTACAATAAGATTCAATGTATATTGTTTAGAAGTCTATTAATTTAATTTTAAAAGTTAATGAATTAAATTTTATGCTCTATCTTTTTTATATTTATTTTAATAGTAATTGACCTTTCGAATTTTCATGTGACTTTTCATATATATATATATTAAATGTTATTATCTTTTAAATTTTTCAACTTTTAAATTAAGAGTAATTAAGACTATATAATAAATTAGAAAATTATTTACTAATATTTGATTAGTTAGATTATGATTTAGTGTAGGGGTAAAATAGTAATCTAACTTTTGCCTAAAATTCTTCCCACTTATAGTATAATATGATGATATGATATTAGTATCACATAAATTAACCATTGAACTACCTCAATGAAATTTCTGACTTCTGGATCGCACAATTTCAACATTGTATGAGCTAGGTTGAGGCCCTAGGTTCAAGTCTCGGCTAATAAATAAAAGAATTGGAACGTCCAATATGTGAATGAGGGGACGTGTTGAAGAATAATTAAGTAAATAAAGTGTGTTCTCCCTAACAGTTTAACCTAGTTTTAAAATGAGGGTCATACGTACCTTAAAACTCCTCTAGCCTCAAGACGATAGTGGACGCAGAACTTAGTATTGTGAATCTAGCATCCGACCTACGGCTCTTATCTCTCTTAAAGGTGATTTCATTCCCAGAATTCAAACTCGAAACCACTAAATAAACATGAAGGAGCTTACCTTCTCTTTCTCTCTCACGTCTCCCACCTTTTCTCTAAATTTTCATATAATGATTTTCAAAACACATATGAAGTGGTGAATTGATTCAATGGTCCAAGTGTACAATTTCTTCATAGCAAACTTCACTTTTTCTAGGACTTTTTTTCAATTTCAATGTCATAATTCAACTCATTATTAAGACACCATGACCAAACAAAATAAGTTGAATTATTTTGTTCGGAGATTTTGAAGCATTTCGACGTAGTAAATTATAAATATAAGCTCTTATAATTATCCAAATAATGTGCTTTGTCACAACAATTCTAGACCAATTTATGATTATTAGACGTACACTATACTACACATGATGTAAAAGCTCAACATTGTGTCACTCTTCCTTAATCAGATGTCTTGGTTTTGAATCGAGAATGAGGATGGAGTTCTTATAATTGTTCAAATATTGTACTTGTCACAACAATCCTAGGCCGATTTATGATATTAGGTGTAGACTATATATACTATGTATTATTTAAAAACTCGACATCACCTCACCCTTAATCGATCTTGAGTTTGAGTCCCAAAAATGAAAAAAATCATAAAAGAAAGTATTTTTTCCCTCTTATTTAGGTCTTGCAGGACGTGAACTCAGATTAATTAGTCATAATTTCAATGCAGATGTTAGACAACAATAAAACCTAAAAAGATAAACACGATGGTACAAGTTGTTATTCTTTGTCTTCCTTGTCGCCTAAAAAGACAAAATTAGAAAACGTATAAGATAATAATCAACAGTATGATAAAATTGTTATATATGGACTGTCAAAATGGTCTAGGGAATATGAGAATTTATTTAAATAAAACAACACAAAATAATTATAAAGCCATATGGATTGTCACTTAACGTGACAACAATCCTCAATTATATTTTATATAATTTCTATTTCAATATGAGTATTTAATCTTTCATGTCATTCTTGTTTTTAAAATTTGAGAAGATAATAGTTTCTTTATTTAACGTTTGTGGTTGACTTTTAACTCTTTTTTAAAAAATAAAAATAAATTGTAAGACCATAATTAGGTTCAAATTATAAAAAACAGCTTGAACACTTGTGGACCACAGCATCACTAGCTCTCTCTATTCACTTTTACTTGTTATGTTTCGCTCTTCATTGAATAGATGGTGAAAGACACCGCCCTAATCGAGTAGATTGTCATAATTCAGATTGAAAATGGAATAATTGATCATAGTTGATCCAATTATATTCAAGGTATGTTTTAATACTTAGATGGTTACAATTCAAGTTAAAAAAAAAACATCTGATAATTAAGAAATAAAACTCGCTAAAAATAATATTAATTTAGAGGGGCCCTAATTCAGATGTGTTTTTGTCAACTAAAATAAAATAAAAGAAGGAAACTATTTCCAAAACATTGGAATTTGAGGTAGCCCAACTAACTTGAATCCTCTTCTCCGTAGCCATCACGCTTGCTTTTATTACCCTTTTCTTTTATTAGAAAAATCATTTGATATCTGAAACTCGCAAGGTTTAATCTGAATTCACACCTAATATGCCGATTAAGAATAAAGATAAAATACTCTCTAACAGAAAAAATTATGTGATCACAAAGTTCAAATCCAAAACCTTATTATCAATTCTCCATAGAACTCACAATTTTTTACTTTGGGTTATTGCCATCATCAAGCCTAAAAAAGTGTGCATATCATGTGATCTTATGTTATGCTTTATAAAGCTTGTAACTTTAATTTTCTCTTCCACTTTGATATGAGATTCGACTAAGGTGTGTGATATGCACCAATTTTTTAGAAGCTTGCAAGTTAATAAGTCTTTTTCTTTAATCAACTCTCACTGGCCCAACCTCTGTCATGAGCATCACAATCATACACATTTATAATCAATCAACACTTGTCAAAACTAGTTCCCCTTTACACCTTTCTTCCTCCTCCCCCTCCTACTACTCATTTTTCTTCTTTCTCCTTTTTAGCACCAAGAAATCATAGAAAACAGTCTTTATAGCACACCCTTTCTACCACTTTCTTGACAAAACCAAATATCACATACAACAATGTATTTTTCAAAAGCTTCTAGTACTACTGATTTCCTCTTCATGTTCTTATTATTGATATTTGTCCCGTTTATTACATCCACAACACAAGCTAATAGAAAGTTAGTACTCCCTCTGTCCCAATTTATGTGACACATTTTGCTTTTCAAGAGTCAAACAGATTAAGTTTGACCGAGAATTTGCTCATGAAATTTTCAATTTTTTAAAAATGAAATTCATATATTTGTAAACTACATAAAAAGTACTATAAGTCTCAATAATTGATAAATCAAAATATTTAAAAGATATAGGA